CCCTCAGTTAATATAAATAGTTTTAAATCAGACACGTCTGTAGATTCATCACCTGATGGTGAAATGCGTGAATACAATATATTTGTCTTAAAATTTTTATATTTTATTTTCGTGAATAATAAATTCATCTTTGAAACATTTGAGAGCTTTTGATTTTGCAATTGCTATTACCATAATGTTTTCAAATATAATTGCGAAGTGAGTTTAAATCTGGAGCTTCTTCTACAGAAATATTGTCATTTATAATCGAACGTGATTGTCAAATGACACGAAACATGCACAGGGGAATGATCGAAACGTTCTATAAAACTAATATATTTTATCGAGCAAACAATTGCAAAGACGTATTTGTTTCCAGGCGACTGGGATGACACCTTTGATGTATGCAGTCAAAGACAACAAAACATCTCTTATAGAGAGACTCATAGAACTGGGAGCAGACGTTACAGCAAGGAATAATGTAAGTTATGAAGCACAGCTTAAACGCAATGTTACAAAAAGCCCATTATCATTCATCAACGGCGTTAGTTCCCATTCTTAGTGTCCAAAATCTTTAAATGAGGAAGGTATCAACTCGCATCATCATCATAAGGTTGTCAGTCTTAAGACTGGTTGGACACGCACCTTCACTCTTTCGTATCCATAGCTAATTTTCGCATTTCCCTAAAACTAGAACAACCCACATCCTTAACTATTTGCAAACAGTAATCTTATCTTGGTCTACCTCTACTCCTCTTAACTCCTATTTCTGCCTCTAATACGTCTCTGACTAGACCTTCATGCCTGAGAATGTGTCCTACCAACTGATCTCGCCTATTCCTTATTGACCTTCATGGAGTCCTCTGTTCTCCTGTTCTTTCTTTCCTTTTCGTCGTGCCCACTGTCCATGTTTCGCACCCGTACAGCGCCGCGCTCCAAACATACACCTTTAACATCCTTTTTCGAATTTCTAAATTAACCGAGCATAGATGTGACTTTTTTTATGGAAGGCGACTTGACCCTGCGCTATCCTCTGCTTTACTGCTTCCGTCCTGACTTATCTGACTTCCTAGATACCTAAAATTGGTCACTTCTTCTAATTTTTCGTCCCCTATCTTTATATTCGCTTTTTCCCTACCTTTTCTTCCCTTACACACCCGTATTTTTGTTTTACTTTTATATGTTTTCATACAGTACTGTTTCGTCAGTTCCGCATCCATTTTATTTAAATCTATCTCTAGCTCCTCTATGCTAGATACTAATACTGCTACATCATCTTCAAATCTAAGCGTACTAATCTTTTGCCCTTGTATATATCTATCCCTACAGTTGAACTGTCTCTAATGATGTTGATCGCGTCTTCGATCTACAGATTAAAAAGTAGTGGTGACAGTGTGCGTCCCTGTTTGAATCCTTTCCTAATATTTACTTATCTACGTTGCAGCCCCAGCTCTATAACTGTCTGTTGCTCTTTATACAAACTAAGTAGGTATCACTCTTCTATCTTTGTAGCTCATCCCTACATTTTTAAGTATATTTAACTTCTTGTCCCGTTTAACATTGTCAAAATCACTTATTTTAGATTCCAATAAATATGTAAATTCATTCAGGAATAGTAGTGGTAAGACCAAAACCAAGACCTAGACCAACACTGTTTGTATACCGCCAAAACCAAGACGAATACCAAGACTGGAAAGGTCTTGGTCTTGGTCTGGTCTTGCTTATCACTAAGGATAAATAAAAAAAAATCATTTTTTTGTATAAAAATAAAGCATTGCATCGTCAGGATTTGTATCTACCGTAATTTGTAGAATAAAACAACAATGCCAGACATAAATTTTAATATTAAGACTTACAAAACTATGAAGCAAAATGAGGTGAATGTAGCCCCGATGCACGAATCTTAAATGTGACTAAACCTGCTGCTATTTGTGTTTTGGCATTAACATAAGTACTCATCATTGTATCAAAACCAAGCGTCTTATCACGTAAATGAAATCCGAATTGATTCCTTTTCTACCTCTTCGAAATTATCTATGCTGGCCCAATACTTCTGCCCCTTTTGGATGATATCAAACCACCTGTTGCTAATTTCGATTCCTTTATCTAAAGAGACCTGGGTGTTTGGTATCAGTGTCGTCAATAATTCGACACACGGTATGACGATGACGTTCATGAAATGGTACTGATCTTTCGGTACTATGTATCTCCTCTTCCTGTCCATCATAGAAATGGGCGGATAACCTAAAGCCGCCTCGATGTCTCCTTGGTTATAAAACTCACTATACAATCTGTTGGTCAAAGTCTGGACAACTTCGAAATCCTTTAGGAGACCTGAGAGGTCCGCGTACGTCATAACAACACTTTTTACTAGAATCCTGTAAAGAAAAAGAATGACATTCTCTGAAAAAGAGAAACAGACCGATTCTAATAAGTCACCTGTGCGATACATTGTCCCATTGGAATTCGTTAGCATGAAGTATACGACAAAGGTCGGACCTGTTCTGAAAATATTGAGATAAATCAGTTGCCATAATGGCTACATGGATTTCAGATAATATCTTGGAATAAGTAGCATTACTCATATTGTCAAATATCTGATTGAGTTTCAAGAACGAGAACGCAACTGAATAGTGGTGACATTCCAAAGTGGATTCCGGATAGAGTTTTGCTAGTGAATGTCTTGTCAAATGAAGGAAGTTGTTGTTATATCCTGGATGGTCGATGTCGTGAAACAGTGCGGCAATGATGAGTCCCTTTTTCTCAATTGGCTTGAATCTATCAGGATTCCGTTTTATCACCGAATAAACGCAATGGGTAACGTTGAAGGCGTGTTCAAAGTTATGATACTGGACGTCCCTGTATCCCGTGTGAGCCCACCGAATCATCCTTTGCAACCCTGCCATGTTAATATCGGTCTCGTTAATAACATCAATCATCATGTTGAGCAGTAGATGATCCTTCATCTCTTCATCGGTGGATTTCAAGTACCAAACGGGATCGGTCATCTGTGGGAAAACTTCGGCTACCGTGCTGTCGTCCTGGGCTTGTTTTAACTTCTTATAATGACGACACGGCATCATTACTTGTCTCACCAGATCCCTGTAGTAGTCAATCTCTATCTCCCTGGTATTATTGTGTTCCCGGTAGTAATTGTGTTCCAAAGCTGCAGCCATGTACGGGCACATCTTTTTCAACAGGTCCTCGTCGTCAGACTTAAATCTAAGACATCCCACTTTGTTAATAATCATTAGAACGGCAAGGGGACGACTAGAATTCCATATGGGAAGCACTAGGGCATTACGGAAGTTCACCCCGCCGTGCCTTCCGTCTTTGTAAGGATTGAATCGTGGATCGTAGACATCCTCGATATTCATAATCTCTCTAGTTTTGAGCGCTAACGATAACAATCCTTGCTCGTCTTCCGAACGTACCGGAGTGTTCTTCATGTACATCTGATCGACGAACTTGCAATTCCCACTAGCAAGCGACTCCTCGAACGAGTAGGCAACTAACTCGTCTTCCTTCTGGTCAGTTTTATAGAAGACGCACTTTTCTGCTCCGAGACGGTCTTTGATTATGTTCGTAATGTCTGTAATTAAGGTGTCCACATCGCTGTCGCCTTCTAGATACTTGTAGAGAAAGTAGGCATAGCTGTCGGCCAATTCCAAATCTCTTTCGTACTGCATCCGCTCCCAGCTCTGATGAACGGTGGCCCCCATCCACCCTGTAATGGCAACAATCGTCTTTATGTCGCTCATACCGTAGGGTTCCTCCGTGGCATGACGCTGAAGCTCGATAACGCCGAAACATACGTCGGATGGGGTGACCAATGGGACGCAGAGTAACGATTTCGGAATGTTGTAAGTGTCGGCTATGTGACAGCCGAGCAGAAAACGTTTCTGCTTGCGGACGTCTTTTATTACAACAAATTCTTTCTTATAAGCTACCGCGGCTGCTATTCTCGGCGAATCCTGTTCGATTGTCCAATGGTCGTTTTCCTTTTCGTTGGTTGTCGGAGTTGAAAAATACAGTTGATTTTTATTAACCAAGTAGACGTAACCGTATAACGATTTGGTGAACGTTTTTAAGAAACCGATGTTCGCATGGAGCAATTTACTTATGTTGACTTCTCCGCTGGTCAAATCGTTGAATAGTTTGGTGTAATAAATCGCGTCGTTCTTCACTCTTGTGATCGTTTCAGGACTGAACGGTACGACTTGCTTTTCGTATCTCCTTTGACGTGGAAACGCTTGAGAAGCCTTTTCAAACTTTTGCCGAGACAGAGCAGATCGTTTTCCTACCATCACATCAACGTTAACTTAAGAATCATGGGTTTTACTAATCAATAAAATAAAACTGATACGACTCCAACGGTAGAAAAAAAAATAAAATAAAATTTATTTTAGCGTTTTTATTAAACTCGAATACGTCAAATTTTTTACAACCCATAGAAAAAAATTGGGCCTCTCCAGATCTCAGTGATCACTGGTATTGTCATTAGACATCTGACAATTTTTCCAATTGACTTTTTTTATGAACGTTTGTTTTTAACGTATTAAGTACTCTATTCAACAGTCTTTGTATGTCTTCGGTCTACCCTCATTTCAGAATTAATCTTCCAGTTTATTAGAAGAACCCAATGGGTTTATTTAGTTTGCAGCAATATTCAGACATTTAAAAAAGATTAACGAAAAATTATTTCTCATTTGTATATTTTCTTTTTGAGCGGTGGAAAAGGGTATACTTATTGAATATCGCGAGTAAATAAAGCAATACAGTAAAACATGTATCAATGTGGTTCAGGTGTACTAATGGGTTCAGTGTCTCTTGCTTCCATACTCCCGCCCGGCCTCCGACTTATGTATCTCCAGTATTCGATGCCTCTGTCACGAATTACAATCCACTTTTGTCTAACTTTCAAAGTCTGCCTCAGGAGTTCCTCAGTGTTCGGCAATACTTCAGCCAAAACTTCCAAACATGGCAGTACAACCACTTCCAAAAAGAGCACTTGATCTTTGGGCACGTAGTCGTACTGTTCCCGGTCCATCAACGACAACGGTTTCACATTCATTGATTTCTGCGTGTCGCCTTCGTGGTAGAATTCTTGGAGCAGATTGTCCGTCAGTTTCTTGACTACAGAAAAGCTCTTAGAATTCCCCGACAAATCGCAAGCAGTTGTCACGTAACATTTCAAATAATCTCTATGCTTGATTTCTGAGAAGTTGAAGTTTTCAAACATGAGCTGAAACGATTCGTTCCTCAATCGGAAATGAACTGCGAGGTCCGTGGATATGATCGTTTTTCGTATTTCGAGCGCCATGTCACGATACGACTTTTCGTCGAGGTTTTTGAAGATTTTGGTCTCTTGCAATATCGCCATCGTCACGTAGTAATGGTGGTTCTCTAAGGGCGATTCCCCGTCGTATAGGAGCACCGTCCTACTCTTTATCAACATCAAAAAGTTATTGCTTAAACCTGGATGATCAGCGTCGTGACATAGAGCACCCAGAAAGAGCCCTTTCTTCTCCATTTCAGTAAACACGTTCATATTCCTCTTTATAATCGTGTACATGCAATGGGCAGCGTTGAACGCGTGTTGGAAATTATGGAAGGTGACCTGTCGGTATGCCGACCGTACCTTCAAAATATATTGTGCAAGACATTCTTTGCTTAATAGTTCTGAGCCCATCAGGTCGTCCATCATATAGTAGACCAATTGCGGTATGGAATCAACTTCCTCGGGGTGTATATACCAAGTGAGAGAATCAAATCCTTCGGGTACACTAAAAGTTTTGAGATTTTCGATGTACAGCTTGGTTTCGTGATGACACGGTGCCAGGTTGTGGTTCAGTAATGTTTTCAATTCGATTATTGACCATTTTTGTTTGAGGATTCGAATTTCGTATTGCCAGTGTATGCAACATAACGAGCAGTAGTCCCCTATTATGTCTAAAAATATTTCTTCTTTCGGGGTGAGTCCTTTGACGTCCTTGTTTAGAAGGGCAATGATGCCCTGCACATGTCCTTTGTGGGTTTTCGTAGGATGGAGGACGAGATTTCGTACGTACGTCCCGAATTTGTGCCTGTCATGGTCGCCGAATCTAGGATCCGTCGAGCTTGTTACGACGACTTTTTCCCCTGTATTAATGACAATTGTGAATATTTTCGGGATTTCGTCCATTGTCATTGGTAAATTCTTTCTTACCAGTTCTGTATGATCAACGCAATATCCTTCTCTGTAAATCCATACTAATGGTTCGCCCCAAGACTTGTCAATCGCATAGATTGTCAGTTTGTTTGCCGTGATAGTGCTCTTGAGGGTAATTCCCATATTCTGTAAAGTTTCAATCGCCATTCTTTCACCAGAAAAATATTTTTGCGTGTAATTCATCAGTTTCGACTTCATGCGTTCTTGTTCTAAAATTTCTTGGTTGTAAACGCTCTGATGGATCGCTGCACCAATCCAGCCGGCGTTAGCTACAATGTAAGCTCTGTCTTCGGATGTGAAAGGCGTGCTGACACCGATTCTAAAAAACTCTAAAACAGCTAAACACACCTCCGTCGGATCGCATATTGGCACGCAGATAATTGATTTAATCTCGTCAACTTTGAAATCAAGACTTTCTAAATAACCCCTGTAATTCTCCGTATCTTCAATAAGTAGACTCATTTTCTTTTCGGCCACTGAACCAGCCAAACTCAGCTTGTTTATCTCTTCTTCTTCACCACGCACAATGTTGCCATCGAGCGTTTTCTGGTAATTGACCAATTTGTCATCTTCTACTAAGTAGACGAAGAAAAATGAGCTTGAAATGCGTTCACTTAACGTCTGTGCCGCTTGGTATAGCAAAGCGGCATGCCTCTCTGTCAGGATCAAGTTTTGCCAGATGTTGTCCAAATGCCTGTGAAAGTACGACTGGCATTTCTCTTCGATTTCTTGTAACGTTTCTATTTTCTTCATGAATTTCGAGCATGGTACACGTTTCTTCCTTTTCGTAACTTTAGGTTCTAGTTTGATAATGTTCGTTTGAAGATCTGAGCATGACCAAGATGAATCGCTCAATGCAAAATCGACATCGTTTTTCGACATGTTCTTTATTATAAAAGCAGACTATACAAGTCCACAATAGTTATTTGTCTCTTCAATGTAAATTCATTAAAATTGGAAATGAATCGTGTCTTTAAAAAATTGGAAAATGACATTTGTCAATCATTATTTGACGAGGTAGGCAAAAGTGCCTTATTTTAATCGTTTAGAGCAAACTACTCATCCGATGCATTCACCAATACTTAGAATGGACCTTCAGAATTGACACAGGCTCCTCTAAAATAAAAGGACTTTTCGTGGAGACCAATTTTGTAATGACAAAAACGAAACATCGGTGATATAAAACAATCATAATTTAAACATACATACAATTTAGACATCTTTTAGAAGTGAGTTAGTTTAATATGAAAAATATTATTCTGAAAATTCATTTCTGAATTTTTTACCCACTACACACTACCTCAAATTAATGAGGGAAAAATTGTTGCTGTTGTCACACCTTCGCCGGGATTAGAACCCGGGACCTTTGGCTTTACGCACCAATATTCTGACCACTAATCTCTGGTTGTTGTCAACAATTTTTCCCTCATTAATTTGAGGTAGTGTGTAGTGGGTAAAAAATTCAGAAATGAATTTTCAGAATAATATTTCATATTAAATCATAATTGAGTTTTAGATATTTTGGAGTTTGGAGGGTGGTGGTGTCTTCATTATTATAGGTTACAATTTGGAAAAAATTAAGAAGGCCGTGTTCTCGTTTTAAAAGGCGTTTAATGATAATATAATTTTGTAAATCTGTGCTATATCGAATCGAAACATTGAAAATTCGGCCTGTCTAATGTGCACACTCCCTCACCTAAATCATTTCTGATAGCCATTAACTAGATTAAAGGGCGGAAGGTAAATTTTAAATGCAAGTCATGGACTCGGCAATCATTATCTAAAACCTGATGTATTTGCTTGTAATGAAATGATTAAAAACTGTGTCATTAAAAAACAAAAAATACAGTTTTTAGTTTCAAAATTCATAAAAAAAGCAATAAAGATCAAAGTGATAAAACATCAATGATTAAAGGCTTTAAATCTATGTAGGACAAACTGGTCACCCTTTTCAAGAAGAAGCCGAGGAACGTAGAAGATGAAAACATCCTAATTTTAACGACAAATTCAAAATTATTTTATTAGAAATTGTTGAAATTATGTTAATTATGATTCAATGATTATTACAAACTGTTGATATTAAGTGTTTTTAACAGGCATGTGGCCAAGTGTAGATTTGCGACCCCCATAAGTAGATTAGGCTTAAGGGTTGCAATCGATTTTTTTAGTATGCTACAATCAATTCTTTGCCTTCATGTTAATTGCGATATGACGTGTCTAAACTCTTTAACAAAACCTTGTAATTCTCTCCATTACAACCCTAAAAGAAAGAAAGAAAAGTACTGAAGTCAATTTCGAAGAAAATTGTACACTTTTAGAATGAGTATTGCAAAAAAGTGTAATAAGAATTTATTTATGAGATATTTAATCTCTTTATTGATTACAGACTTACACATTTTTTACAAGGGAATAAAATTTCATCCCCAAGACAAAACAACAAACAAAAGTCTTAGAAACGATTTCACTTACGTTAAATAATGATATCATTTGTTTTTCATCTTTAACAACTAGATAATTCTTATTACAGGACAATTACAATGCCTTGCACCTTGCTGCTATGTATTCAAGAGAAGATGTAGTGAAATTACTACTGACAAAGAAGGGGGTTGATCCCTACTCAACAGGAGGTGTACGTGAGAGAAATATATCTATTGATAAAAAATAAAATAAAAAAAAACAATTAATAAAATATCATTTTTTAGTCTAGGCAACAGACAGCTGTACATTTGGTTGCTTCAAGACAAACGGGCACAGCAACTGCTATTTTAAGGGCACTTCTAGCAGCCGCAGGGAAAGATATACGACTGAAAACTGATGGGGTAGGTTTTGTAACATGGGTCTTATTACAGTGGGTACCTATACGTAGTTAGGTTATCGCATTTATGTCATATCATTCCAAATTACCTCTACTATACGCCGTCTGTCTATCTTTGGCGGAAAAACCAATATCGTACTTAAAAAAAAGAAGGGGGGAACCTTATATATAAACAGGGGGCAAAAATGTTTTTAATATTAACTATGCTTGTAGGGTATCATTGAAAAGATCTTTCGAAGGAGAACACAAATATATTTTTTTAAATTATTTTGGACTTCAGTTAATACTACGAAGGTCGTCAAAATCGTGGTTTTAAGACTTATTTTAGGATTGAAATTTCATTATTATCGAAATACAGTAAAACTTTTAGTATTTTTGTTTGATTTCGAGGTAATGATTACAAATAGAGTATATGCCAACAAAATAAACAGAAATATCTTACAATTAATTGATTAGTTCCAGAGATTTGTAAGGTTTCTTACCTTCGAATTTGATATTTATTTTGTCAACAAATTTTAATCATTTAATGTATTAGTTAGTTACCTATTTTACGAAGTAAACAAAACGTTGAAATGGAAGAAAAGTTGTAAACTAACTACAAAAGACATTAGATTGAATTGTTCGAAATGTATCCAATATCGAAATGAACCAATGCCGCAATACGTTAAAAATTTTTCACTTTTATTTTCAGGAGTTTATCGCGTTTTATGCCTTCAGATCGCGTGTTTATTTATTATCTTCACCGCCTGGCACTGCATCGTCACTAAACCTAGACCGAAATTTGGCATTTTTAACGTTTAAAACTCTCTTTCTTTCTTTCTTCATACAATACATTTATTATGAATATAATACTTATTTCCACGATGGGTAGTTAAATAATAAACAATAAGTACATAAATAAGTGAAACACTTTGACATTTTTAAAAGTGGCTCAAATGAAATATTAATATAAAATTACCCACTACAAACTATCTCACGATAATGAATAAAAAATTGTTGCTGTTGTCACACCTTCGCCGGGAATCGAACTCGGGACCTTTGGCTTTACGCACCAATGCTCTGACCACTAAGCTTACCAAAAGTCCCGGGTTCAATTCCCGGCGAGGGTCTGACAACAGCAACAATTTTTTTTTCATTAACCTAAGGTAGTTTGTGGTGGGTATACAAATTGAAAATTAATTTTCACATTAATATTACATAAATAGTACGTTCTCGACCCCAAATCAGATTTTTAGCTTCTTTCTAAAAACAAAAATATTTCTTATCAAAAAGAAAGTCCGGAGATTGTTGGAGATTGATACTCTTATCGGATATTATCGAAGAAGAATCCTCATGATTTTTTGAAAATAACAGCTGTGTTGTCCACAAAGACAATTTCAAGTTTCAATTAATCAAAAAGAGAGCATTGATTTTCAATAGATTTGATGGTCCTCTTGATATAAAAAAATTTGATTAAAAAAAACATTTAGTTATTGAATTTAATCGTCCATTTATTTCATAAATCGCCCCCTGTACCATTATAGCATTCAAAAATTAAAGCGCAAATAAAGTTAAAGATATTTTTCTGTAGTTTTGTTCTGTCTCTCCCTTCTGGGAACATTTATCCAAGTTAATGTTTTTATAGAAAGGAAAAATCCCTTTACTTTTGGCTGTAGAAGCGGGAAATCAATCAATGTGCAGGGAATTGTTGGGCTCTCTAACTGGAGAACAATTAAAATTTGCTTCAGCATCTGGAGACTGTGCGTTACACATTGCCGCCAGGAAAAGAGACATAGACATGGTAACTATTCTTCTTTGTTTTGTTATTGTTTAATTGTTATTTTTTTTGTAATTTTCCGTAAATTTTCGTAGATTTATTGAGCATACTTTTCTTGTTTCCACCAAGGTTTATTCTATCATATTAATGCAGTAAAATTTTTACATTCATTACAATATTATCTTACATTATGAGTTAATGTCAATATTTAATGGCTATTAAAATTGCCATAAATAAATAAAAGAAAATTATGACTAAATATGGTTTTGACTCTTAACGGAATCTCTTATCAGTTTTATTGACAAAAATAATATCAAGTCAATAATACTTTGCCTGTCCTTGAGTTACTTTTATGATTCTATTTATTGCTAAAAATTTATTTATTGCAAATTTAATTAGCATAAGTACAACAAAAGAATAAAAATATAAAGCAACCTTGGTGGTATAACATATTTTATATTTAATAAATTAAATTATAAATTTAGCATTTATCAATCTTATTCATTATAAGTACATAAAAATATACTTTTATCAAAACGTGTCATAAAGCAGATGGCATTGATCCTACTACAACAACACAATAAAGAATTTTATAACCGCCTGCAGAAACGATATTAATATTTTTTTGTATGTCATAGGTTAGGATTTTAGTAGATTACGGTACGAGCGCCGATATGCAAAATGGAGAT